CCTGAAAAGACATAATTTTTGTACTGAGGCACATTACACAAATGACAGAGACCTTGATAAATACAAACAGCAGTGTTTGTCTTAGTTTTGCCTGCAAGTAGACAATCCTGCAGGACTTGAATAGAGAAACAACAAAAATCAACAAGAACAAATATGTCTGTGATAATTTTCATGGCCTAAGTCACAGTCCATGGACTGTCCTTTTGATGCTTTACTCTAGAAAACTCATACAGACACTACAACAGAGAGAAACCTCTCCTGAAGGCTTGCCTATGTTTGTTTGGCTAGCAGATGAATCTGTTACTCCATGCCCCAGATAATTTGTATGAGCTGAAACCAGTGTCTCTTTTAAGATCTTAGTGGCACCACGTGTGCATTTATGTTGCAAATACTTAAAGAAACAGACCTCATCGAATTGTGGATTTTAAACATAAATGAAACAGGACAGGATCTAAAGATTTTTGCAGTTTGTATTTGTCTCCTTCACAAGAGACATAGATGGGAGACCTACTGTTGATGACCTCTTTCAAATATATTATTTCTCCATGTTATTTTCCTGTGTTTCCCTCTTAGATAAAACATGTGTGGATTTACCGTCGTTGGACTTCTGCTTTCATTTCACTGAAATTTATTTGCATATAAAAGAGTTATTTTTCATTATTCCTTTAGTATTTTTGTGGTGAATGCAGTGCCATCTCTTTACCCAGTGGTTTACCGAATAATTTTTTTTAATATACTCTATGTTTCCTGCCATGAGGAGATTGCAGCCTAAATGTTGACAGCAGGCCAACAATTACAAAAGGAGCACAAAGGAATAAAAGATATTGCTGGCATGCATGCCAGTAGAATCATGGCAGAGAGAGCTGGCAAGAAGCAAGCTTCCCTGCTTGATCCCACTTATAAAATATACCACTTTCCACTATCTGCTGTTCCATCTCTGTTAGAAGGACAGCTCTTATTTGAGGAGATCAGGAGGAGGTAACAGCTGTTTTTAAAAGTCATAATTCTTTTTAAGGCAAATAGGATGTTGAATGGCCTTCATTATCCTGAGTAATATGTAGAAAAATATATACCTCAAAGGATACATGCCACCATGTTTCTCCATGAGCCACTTGCTTTTCTTTTCAATATTTTCTTCACATCAGGTTGTAAGACTTTTTTTCTTCCCTCAGTGAATTTTTTTTTGCATATTTTTCCATAATGTGTAAATATATTCACCAATTCCTCCATAAATCAGATGAGGAAGAGGAAGGTAAGGGAGACAGGGAGTGCTTTGCCTTTCTCAAAAGCATGTTTGTGCATTTTTTTTCCTCAGTAGTCAAACATTTCAGCCATTTATATCGTCCATATAAATGGACGATAGGCTTTATAGTGGGAATTAGGAATATGTTTTGTATTTGGAAATGATTCAGAATACAAGGTGAAGTGGGTGTATTTTGTAAGTTTCCAAATCAATCCAGAGAAAATGAAAAAGTCCAAAGTGGCACTCAAATCAAACCAGGGCTTCAGCACTCTAAGGATTTTAAAAAGTTGACTTTAAAAAAAGAGAGAGAGACACACTGTCCTGGAAAAGAGAAGCAAAGCCATAACAGGAGAACTAGGAAGCCCAAAGCAGAGGGAGATAGATAGATCAAATGAAAAGTCCAAGCAATCCTGGAAACTCCAATCACAACCCCTGGGAGTGAATTTCCTGTCATTGTGATGAGAGGTCATTGTGCAAGGAAAGCATCTTAGAGAAAATAAGAAAGGCAGTAATGAACGAACGAACGAACGAACGAACGAACGAACGAACGAATGGTTGTTGTGGGGTTTTCGGGCTCTTTGACCATGTTCTGAAGGTTCTTCTTCCTAACGTTGCGCCATTCTCTGTGGCCGGCATCTTCAGAGGACAGCAACCTGTGCTCTGGTGTAGTTGGCTTGGGAGTGCAGTATTTATGGCTGTGAGATAGATGGGTGATTAGCGTGTATTGTTGTGGGTGTATTGTTGTGCTAAGGAGAAGAGTTTATCTGTTCCTGTGGTTGATGGGTGTCATTAGCTGGTCTTTTGTGTGTAGTGATCCCCTGTCCTTGTGGCTGGGTAGAGTTTGTTGACCTTTTGCATGTTGTATTTTTTGAGACCAAGTAATATGTAGTTGTTAAGCTTCATACTTTCCTCTTTTTTGTTGAAACTGCGCTGGTGCTTGTGGATTTCAATGGCTTCCCTGTGCAGTATGACATAATGATTGCTGGTGTTGTCCAGTATTTCAGTATTTTGAAATAGAATTTCATGTCCAGTTTGTTTCAGGGCATGTTCAGCTAATAAAATAAGCTATTTGCTTATTTTATTTTATTTGCTTTCAGGTATTCAGTCTCAATTCAGTTGAATTGCCTGTATGAAATGTTTACCATTGTGGCGTATTCGGGTAGGGTGGGTCACAAAAGAATTAGGACTAGAAGCCAGGCTATTCCACACACCCCATTTTGAACTTCGCTTCTCTCACGCCTCCTGCTGGGTTTTATTTTTGCAGCACTGTGCCTTTCTCTTTCTTCACTGTGTGTGTCTCTGTCTTCAAGACACAGCAGGGGGCAAACATAACACACAAGGCAGATCCGCTATCCGCTGATGGGGAGGGTTTCCTTCCCTTTTTAAGAAACATGTGTGCTGAATAAATTTGAGTAAGTTCTGGGAGTGATGGAAGTAAGCAACTTGAGCCCATTGTTGCATGTCCTGCACTCTAGAATGATTGAGAATAGCTCCTGCCCCTCCCCTTTATGATAGCCTTTCAAGTATTTGAAAAGTGCTATCATATATCCCCTCAATTTTCTTTTCTCAAGGCTAAACATTTTGAATTCTTTCATTCTTTCCTCATTTGGGGGGTTGATTTCCAACCCTCTAATCATCCTTGTTGTCCTTCTCTGAACTTGTTCTAATTTGTCGGCACCCTTCCTGAAGTGTGGTGTCCAGAACTGGGCACAATACTCAAGGTGAGGCCTCACCCCTGCTGATAGAGGGGGACTAGCACCTCACAGGATTTGGAGACTATACTTCTGTTAATGCAGCCTAAAACAGCGATTGCCTTCTTTTTACCAACGTCACACTGTTGGCTCATATTCAGCTTGTGATGTATGAAAATTCCAAGGTCCTTCTTGCTCATAGTATTGCTGAGCCAGGTATCCCCCATCGTGTACCTGTGTGTTTGGTTTCTTTTTCCTAAGTGCAGTATTTTGCACTTATCCCTGTTAAATTTATTCATTCAGCCCAGTGCTCAATCCCTATCCAGATCATTTTGAATTTTCCTTCTGTCTTCCACGGTATTAGCTAGTCTACCCAATTTTGTGTAATCTGCAAATTTGATTCGTATTCCCTGTACCCCTTGATCCAGGTCATTAATAAAAATGTTGACTAGCACAAGGTCCAAGACTGAACCCTGCTGTACCCCACTTGTTACTTCCTTTTATCCTGCTGTACCCCACTTGTTACTTCCTTTTGTAAAGGAGCCATTCATCATCACCCTCTCAGTAAGATTCTTTAGCCAACTGTGTATCCACCCGACAGTTGTTCCGTGCAGCCTGCACTTAGTTAGCTTGTTTATCAGAAAATTATGGGGCACTTTGTCAAACGCTTTGCTGAAGTCAAGATATACTGTGTCAACAACATTCCCTCTGTCTATCAGTGAGGTACCCAATCAAAAGATGAGATCAGGTTAGTCTGGCATTTGTTACTGACAAATCCATGTTGGCTTCTAGACATGTTGGCATCAAGAACTCAAAGTTTTTTAAAGACTTGTCCAAAATTTCCCCTTCACTGGCTAAAGCAAATGAAATCCAGATTGTACCTTTTCAGATCTGTGAACCAGTCCCTGGCCCTCCTGTGATTCTTCCTCAAATAACGGTTAAAACCAACATTCACAGAAATATGTATTTTCAGTTGCTATGATGTTTTCCCTGTAGTGACATATTCCTTTTTTGGGATGCACATCTCAGCTATCAGACTTGTAAATGTTTATGTTCATGTCCAATGATACAATCATACTTCTGCATTTAACATGCTTTACAATCAGACATTTTCCACTGCTTGAGGGAACACAGTTTCCAAATGTGGCATCATGGGCTTGTCTGGTTTCGAATTTTTGCTTGACAGGCATTTGGGGCAAAGGTAGGAAACATTTCATTTTGGGTATCCAATTCTGAGAGTTAGTGTTTTGAAAATACATGTTTCCCATACTGACTTCAGGAATGACCTGTTCTTGGAAACATTTGCTCAAGGTCAGCTCCTGCTGAATGATTTTTTCCTACACTGGGAGATAAGACACACCTTCACTTCCTTAATCATTAAGTGGAATGTGGGCAACCCCTGTAGTTAAATCCTAGGATAGAGCTCAATTATAACGTATTTTTCATTAGTGGAAGCTATAGAAGCATTTAATAATATTAATACACTACCATTCAGGTACTGTAGAACAGATTTCCCGGTAGATCCAGTGTTGCTTACTTTCTAAACATTTTAATATTATGCTGTTTGCAACATCTCTTTGATGATACCCAAGAGCCTAAAATGGGATGCAAGTTAGATGCAATGCATCCTCTCCCTCTTTATATCTCTTTTCACTATAAACGAAATGACTTTTACTAGGGAGGAAATCAATAAGCAGGAAATAGTAAAAAGGAATAAAAGAGCTATTAAATGTCTGTTACAAAAGGGGATACTGCCTAATGTTTCTTGTTTCTTTTTTTCCTTTTTGCTGACATCGTTTTCATATCCTATCAGGAGCAATAAAAAAAAGCTGTTGATCTAGGGCCGGAAATATTTCTATTTTCTGATGTAATCGGCCAGAATAGATTTCTTACAAAAGAGCTGGACATTTCCTTTTAAACTTCAAGGATAAAAATAAGCATTCTTCTTCATGAAATGTGTGTATGAGAGAGAAGATAAATGGGAAGGGGAAGCAGTGAAATCTGTACAGATGATAATGTTGAAAACTTTCTTTCCATGAATCTAAATTGCTGTATTATGTTAACAGATCTGGGGAATTTCAGCGGCCGGACGAGAACCACCGTGTCGGTGCGGGAAGGTCAAGGTGTCGTTCTGATGTGTGCTCCTCCACTTCATTCACCAGGTACAACCAGATGCATTTTCTATCAATACAATCTCACTTTTCTGTGCATTTGTAATTTTCTGCTATGAGCTTGACTGTGGAGCATTAGCAAAATCATCAGTTGCAGGACGACCGTTGGAGTTCATCACTTGCTATAAATGCCATTGAGCAAGAGTTTCTAGATAAAGATTATTTCCTTTTCAATTTAGCCAGTGACAGGATCAGCAGTAAGTAGTTGTTCATGCATAGTGCTTTGCCTTAGAGCAGGGGTCTCAAACATGCGGCCCGGGGGCCATTTGTGGCCCACCAGATGATAATTTGCGCCCCCCGCCTTGCCTGCCCCCCCCAGCGCCCATGCGTCCTCTGCTATCAAGAGTTTTTAAAAAAGCCTCGCTTTGCTCGCTGGCTCTCTCCCAAGATAGCGCCTCTTGCACCCTCCATCTGGAACTGCAGCCTGCCAGCTAGCCCGCCTGTCTGCCGGCTAAGGAAACTCCTGGGTGGCTTCCGCGGGCACTTGCTCCGCTTGGCGGAAAATCTAATGCGGCCCAGCCTCACCCAGACTCTGCCTCCAGCGGCCCCCAGGTAAATTGAGTTTGAGACCCCTGCCTTAGAGTCATGGGGGAATAATTGTTTTATTCTCAAAGCTAGTCCAGATTTTGTTATTGGGAGAATCTGCAGTTGAATGTTATTGCAAACGTTTTGTTTTAACTAGTTGTTTGTTATTTATTATTTTAAAATAAAAGAGAAGGGGAAAAAAACTCCCAACATGCCTTATTGAACTTGAAACAGAGCCTTTCTGGATCAGATGTAAGTCCTGCTCAAATGTAGTTTCTCTTTGCATTCAGGAAATACATGGAGAATGCCATATCTCCTGCAGTGTCTTCCTCCTGCTTCTCCTGAAATTTCCACTTTGATTAGGAAAATATAAAGAGTGATTTGGAGGCTGTTTCTGAACTATACTGTTATGTCATTTTAATTCCATGTTAACTGCCATTGTTGCTTCCTGCCAAATTTTGGGATTTCTACTTTGATGAGAGACTAAGCATTCAAGGGAGTGCCCTACAGGTCTCCAGCAGAGAACGTTATTTCAACAAACTCCCAAAGTTCCATATTGCAGTTAAAGTGATATCAAACAGCTAACTATGAAGTGTAGACATACCTTTAGAGCAAGGGTTCCCAACCTTCAGATGGTCATGGACTAAAACTCCCAGAACACTTCACCACTAGTTATGCTGGACAGGATTTCTGGGAGATGAAGTCCAAGAATATCTGGGGCCCAAGGTTAGGAACCACTGCTTTAGAGTATTGAATGCATTTTAAATCTCACCACTCTTCCAAACTAGAATGGACTCACCAGGAAAAATCCCTTAATGGTAATTTTATCATCTTTTTAGAGCTGAATATAGACATTTCTCTTTTACTTATTTGGGTAGTTTTTACGGCAAGGACTTGACAACTATCTCTGCTCACTCTAGTGGTAGACCTCAGAAGGCTAGCAAAACTTTCTCAAGCTGAAAGCTTGCCCACTAGAGATGGCTGTGAATCCAGGTGGTTGGGTTGGGTTGGATCATCATACCAGCACCACCGGCCCCACATGGTCTTATTCCTCACCCTCCTTCTCCTCCTCTTGAGTCATTTCATCAGTCATGGAAGAAGCATGGACTCAAAGGCAGCACTGCAGCAATCCCTGCACTGCCTCATCTGAGTAGGCAGCTGCTGGAGGAGGCACAGAAGGGATGTTCCTGCCATGACTGGTGAAATGAATGAAGGGGAGGAGGAACAGAGAATCCAGCCAGGAGGTGGGGTACAGGACTACATGTCACCTGTGGTGCCGGTATGGCAGTCCAGCACAGTCGGACAATCTGGATTTATGCCCATCTCTACTGCCAACCATTGATCTAAGCCAGTAGTCATCAAATTGTCTTTACAAATATGCTAAAAAAACTTTTTGCAAAACCCTTTAGGAGCATCCTCTGTTAAATGTTTGTTTAGATTTTTGCCACTGCATTGTCATTGTTTTAGGTCAGCTTAAGATTTTTTGCATAGCCGTATTGTTACTTTTTTTCATTGTTTGTTTTTTATTTGATGATTCGTTATGTCTGTCTGGTGCAATATATTTATATTGATTATTCTTTGATGTAAACTGTCCAAAGTAGCACCCAGCACTAATTGGGTGGTGTATAAGTCTATGAAAATAAATAAATAAATTGCCACCACATCTAGTGACACTAAGCTTCCTCTTAAAGGATGCACTGTGTGAAGAAATAGCGATCAAATAGAAATCTGCTTACTCTTCTGTTTGACACCTGGTGTCTGGGGCCTCTGTAATTAAGTTTTATTGATTGACCGTGATGCTGCGTATATGGCAGAGATTATAAATTTAGTCTGTTCTAATTAAATGAGAAAATGAACTGTTTTTCTTCTATTTACCTATGTTCCAAAAACAACAGTCAATTTTTCTTATTTACCTATTGATTATGGTCTGAAAGTCCTGTTTAGGAAGATTTCGTGCCTTTAGAGGCTGGACTAAACTGTTTTTCTTAGCTGCAATAGGTTTGTACTCTTTCTGTTCTCTTATATTTGTTTTGATGTTGTTTTTAGTTTTTAGGGTCAAAGGTGCTTGATTAAGCAGCCAAGACCACTTAGGGCAAAGGAAGAATAAAATATATTTCTGAATTTGTCTAGAAATAGAGAGACAACTTTGTGTCATACTGACTGACCTCCCACTTGGGAGAGAGAGGGGACCGGATTCTTAGGAGAGAAAAAAAGGTGAAGACTTCCTTGAATATATAAGCAAGGAAGAGACAGCCCAAAATAAAGAGAAAATATTCAGCTGGCCCTAGTATCTATTTCAGCCATTGTTCTGCCCTGTAGGCAACACTACTGCCCCGTGTAGACTTTCCTAATTCAAGGTAGGGTTGCACCTTTCTCTACTTGCAATGAAAGGTAGTGTTAGTGTAAAGACTTTTAAGCTCTATGGGGCTATTTGTTTACTTAGATTTCTATCAATGAACCTCACAAATTCTGCTTGTAGAATTTGCAAAGTTAAAATGTCCTTTGGAATTCAAATTCAGACAAAAATCCAAGGTGTCTTCTTCAATTGGATTGGGTATCCATAACATAAAAGAATCAGCTTCAAAACCATACCAATTTAATAATATATGCCTGAATTGCCAATATGGATTCATCCCCTCCAACACAAACATATAGGGATTATACCTAGACCAAGCTGGCAGAAGCCTTAGCAGTCTAAGTGGCAACAGCAGCTCCAGCCTGTTCTACTCTTCCACTCTTTCTGATTCAAATCTCTTACTCACAGCCCCACTCCTCCTTACGCCTGCTCCTTTGGACTGAACCAGTATTTCATAGGATTTACATTAGCTGAAATAACTGCCTGCTAAATGGTAAGAGAATCCAGACCCTCCCAATTTTTCCCATCTGTTCTCAATCAGAGTAAAAGGAGATGAACAGATTTCAGCAACTTTGACATAAAGCTAAATATAAAATATTTTGTATTTGGACCACTCACTAGAATGCCTGTTGAAATTCGGATGAATCTCCTCCTCCCCCAGCAAACTGTTTTCTTTGGACAGTGTTCACATTTTTGCACTGAGATATTCTACCTAAAGTGAATAGTCTGATCTCCTATCACTTAATCATTCAAATTACATGATGCAGAACATTTAAAAGAAGAATAAGAAAAGAGAATTAAGGGCTTCAGGTCTTTTTTTAATTAAAAAATTAAAACCATCTAATAAAACTTTTTATGGTCAGCTAAAAGAAAGTGAGAATGTTCTCACTATCAAACTGTATTAGGAAAAGTAGATGGGGGCTCCCTCCACCACTGCCTTAAAGGACATAATGTACTGTCAATGTCAGTATAGTTCTTTGATGTAACAGCTGTACAGATGTTAAATTGAAATTTTTATTACTCTGCTCTAAAGGGCAGGTCTAGTTCACTTTAATTGGAGCCACTGCTATACACAATGCCCCCACCCTGCCAAGTGCATTTCTCTTAGCAAGATGTGGATTTGCTAAGCCACATTCTTTGTGCAGAGAACCCCTGTAGCTTGTTTTGTCCACTTTATATAAGGAGGTGCAAAGAGATTTCAGTCCAGCATCTGTTGGAAGATATGTTCATTGCATTTCTGCAACTGGGTCTCTCCTGGAAATTATTTAATGTGTCCCATGGGTGTGTGTGTTGTACCTCCCACATGGTATAGAAGAGTATTCTTAAATATTCTCCTGTTGATGATGATGATGATGATGATGATGATGATGATTGTTGTTGTTGTTGTTGTTGTTGTTGTTGTTATTAGTAGTAGTAGCAGTAGCAGCAGTCGTAGTCGTAGTCGTAGTAGTATCATCATCATCATAATTGTCATCGTCGTCATCGTCATCATCATTAATTGTACCACCTACTAGTCCCACAGGGTTTCCTGTGATGGCTTATAATGCAAGTTAAAACACTATCTAAAACCAAATTCAAAACTGTTTGACAATCTGCAGTAAACAGTGTGTTTAGGCAGCAAAGGATGAATCACAAATGCCTGCAGCAGCTAACAAAAGACAAAGCTACAAAGAAATGGCTTAGCCAGCCCAAAGCGCTGTTTCTAGGTGCTATCATGTCACTACTGACTCATGGTGACCCTATGAATTAGTGACTTCAAGAAGCTCCTGTCGTTTATAACCCTGCTCAGGTCTTACAAGATTATGGCTTCTTTTGTTAAGTCCTTCAATCTCTTGGTACATTATCCCTCTTTTCCTACTACATTAAACTTTTCTTAGCTTTCCTGTTTTTTTCCCCATTCAGTCCTGTCATCCAATAACATGTCCAAAGAATGACAAGCCTCCATTTAGTTAGGTTTGCTTCCAGTGAAAGTCCAGGTTTGGTTTATTTCACCCCACTTCAGTTTCATCACATCAGGTAGTACAGTTTTTAAATATTCCATGTCCTGTTTTATGGTTTAGAGCTTGCATCGATTTTTACTTCTCACATACCATGTCTCACTTATATGTCT